AGAATTTTTTTTTAAAACAAAATAGAAATATTGAAGCTGTACCTTTTAATCCCAAATCGACAAACCCTAGACGACAAGCAGTAGGAGGAGGAACGTTGAAGGCCAAGATTGAAGAGGAAATACGAACCCTAATCCTAGATTGATGAACGGAGGCGACCCCTAGATCTGAGTCGTCGTCGGAGAGAGGACAGTTATCGGAAGTCGCAGGAGCCTCAAACTGTGGAGGTCGCTGGAAGTCGTCGTCGATCAGAGGTGGCGTCGACGTCACCGGAAGTCGTCGTCGTCGGAAGCAGGGAGTGGGAGAGAACTCAGAGAAGCAGCGGCTAGGGCACGATAGGGTTTGGGAGTGAGAAGTAGTCGGGAGCTGGGGGAGGGTTTAAGTAGAATGGGTACGGGTCGGGTTCGGGGCGAAATAAACTGGGGCGGGTTTAGCGGGTTAAAGCGTTTTTAAGCGCTAAAACGCGCTATTACGCGCTATTAGGCGCTATTCGAAGGAATAGCGGTTTTTTTCGCTTAAGCTCGCCGCAATTCCCAAAAGCGTAGCGCTCAACCCCCGCGACCGCTATTTGCGGCGCTATAGCGGCGCTATTGCCCGCTTTTTACAACAGTGCTTATAGCACACTTTGTATCTCCCAAATCATGGTTTGGGTGGGAAAGATGTACGATCCACTGAAGTCGGTCCTAAACGAAGCTACTTTTGATGGAACCTGCCTTGTTAGTTGAACATGAGTTGTAAAACCGAAACGGAAGGTGGTAATTTAGCAGAGGAGATTGCCCTGAACTAAGCTGTTTTGATGGGAACATGAAGAGAGATGGTAAAACACTAAACAATAGCTAGTAGTTTAGCACAGAAGATGGACCTGAACTAAGCTGTGCAGCGAGAATAGATCCCTGTCTGACTCCAAATATTTGGGGCAAGGCTTTTGTTGTTATGGTGATGTTGGATGCCTATGTTTGTTCTGTATGATCTTCGAAGGTCTCCAGGTCAAGTTTTGTACTTTCTAGGTTAATAAAGTAAACAGCTTATAGCTTGGGAATGTGTTTGAGTTGAGTTCTTTGGCTTATATCAATGCCAGAGATGAATGCAGTTTCTATATGTTTCTAACAATCTCATAGAAATTATGTAGAGTTTTTGGCAAATGTATGAAGGGCCAGCCAAAGTAATCTGTGGCCACAACCTCCGACATTCACCCTTTGCTGCTGGAAACCTCTCATTTGCACACATTGACTTAGCTGCAGGATTCTTTTTCAGTCAAAATGTGCCTTTTAAAGAACCTTTCCAATCAGTTTAGTCTTGAAGTTCATTTCTTCCTCTTTTTGATCTCTTGAATTAAAAATGCTGTTATTTAACTTTCTTTTCTCCATGCAAGACATGTTTTCCCTTTGTTGTAACTTTTTTTCTCTTCTCGTTATCCAGATAAGTTCATGAGTGGAAATCTTTAGATGTAGGATTGCTTTTTCTAGGAGCATTTTCTTTAGTGTCCTCTCAAATCTTGAGCAGCATAATCTAGAAATCTGGAAATACTGGCTGGCAGATTTGTAAAATCTCTTGGACTATAGATTAAAGATGTCATTATTCAACTTTCTTTTCTCCATGCAAGACTTGTTTTCCCTTTTAGCTTTGTTTTCTCTTCTAGTTATCCAGATAAGTTCATGAGTGGAAGTCTTTAGATGCAGGAAATAAATCACATGCTTTTTCTCAGAGCATTTTCTACAGTATCCTCCCAAATCTTGAGCAGCATAATCTTGAAATCTAGAATACTGGCTGACAGATGGTAATATCTTGTGTATCAGAGGTTAAAGGCAACGTTTTATAAGATTTGAGTTATAGAAGCATGCTCTTTAGTGACCTCCAAATCTAAGCAACGTACATCAAAATCTACAAGTACGGGCTAACAGATGGTAAATGTATTCTCTATCAGAGGTTAAAGAAAATGGCGTAAGTTTGAAATATAAATTTTATTTATCTTGTAAGGTTGTATCAGGTTTGAAAAAGAAAAAAAGCTAGATTTACAGTCAACACTAGAAATTTTATTCCTATTTATCTATTAAGTCCTGAACGTGTGGAAGATAATGTTCTATATGCAATAGGTCTAGAGGTGCTCTTTTCAATGAAAACCCTTGAAGGAAACATAGTAGTAATACAACCCTGAGTTCTACTCATTTCCATAAGCTAATCTCACTGGGACCTGATTATTATACAGGAAGGTGGAAGAAGATCTTAGCAATGAACTCGAGCTGCAGATCCAAGGGGCTGAGAAACCGTCCATGTGGAATCTTTTTGCTGTTCAGTTTTTGCTTCTACCTTACACTCTAGGAAAGGTACGTTAACACTTCCTTCAAGTTAGTTATGGTATAACTGAATTCTCTGGATCATTTTTAGTCCCTCTGTGATATGTGGTCTGTAAGTTTTAAATTCCTAATAATCGTTCCTTTTAGATATTATACTGGCAACTCTGTTGGTTCTGGAGATACCAAATAAAAAAGGCTTCATATACATGGGATGATGCTTGTTATTTGACACGGACTTGCCTCAAACTGCCTCCAGAACATTGGGAAAATATAAGTAAGTATCTTTACTAAGCATGTTTAGTTGCATGTTGGTACGAAATGTATGTAGGTGTTGCTATTGATGTTTATACTGCTGCTTCTGTTGAGGGTTGATGATAGTAAATATGCATTGAAAGGGTTGTTGGATAAAATTTAATTCGGATCGGAATTATTGGACCATCACTACCTGTGGCTAAATATTAATTTAAAATCATGAAAATATTAAAGACAATTGCAAACTTGACAAGTTATAGTCAAAAACTGCTGTAAGTTACACTCTTCGTCTATGAAATATTATAGAATAATTCACGCAAAAGTTTTACACGTGGAGACAATGCGATGTTTTTAATCAAGACGTGTATGTTAAGCACTTTTCACAATTGATGAAATATATATTGAATTTTAATGAAATGTTGTAATTGCTGCAGTAATTATTTTTGTAGTGATATGGAATGTTGATGGCATTAATTTTCTTGCATCGCCTAAACCTTAATTTTTTTAGATCTATTTCAGTTGTTTATCAATATGACACTTATGATTATTTGAAATTCTTAATGCTAATTTATTTTTGCTAAACATGAGATTTGTATTCTTGGTTCTCCCACCCATACATCCTACATACATTGTTTAGATATTGAGTGTACCAACACACACTGTCTGGAATGCATACCTTAATGTATGTTTAAGAAAGATGCATGACAATCAAAAACATCTGAGTGTACGCTTTGTGCCTTGATCACGTTGAACGTCTAGTGTGTATACCTTTGATGCTCACACTATAAATCTACAATCTTTATTTTTTTCATCAAGATTTTCTGAATGTATTTGACGTTTGCTCTCTTCGTTATAGATGACCAGATGAAGGACGATCTTGTTCTTAAGCGTTTATGGGAAAAGAACAACATGGAGAATTACCTGGCAGAGATGAGAAAGGAGTCGAAACGTCGAAGATAATATGTTCTATTTTACTTTATAGTGAACTTTCTTCCCTGACTCCTGAAATTTGTACCAGAGAGTAGCAAGGGAGGGGCATATGAAGATTAATTGTGTTCAATAGAAAAAAATTGATGTTATTATTCATAATTTATTAAAGTCAAATTTTGATCTAACAACTATAGAAATAATAAATTTGTTGGGTTAATTTAAGGGGTTTTGTGAAATTAACCCAAAAATTTTCTCTCTTTTGTTATAGAGTTGCGATTCAAAAATGAACTAAATTTTCATTAAGTCTTTTTTTCTGCTTTGCTAATGTGCTTTTGAGGCTTTTAGAGTTTTTAGAAATAAGATTAGCTTATATATATATACCCGAACCTGAACCAACTAATCCTAACCTGAGCCCTAATTCGAACCTTAACCCTAATCCTAACCCGAACCTGAATATGAACCCCCAAACACGAACCCTAACCCTAAATGTAGCCCTAACCCAAATAAGAAAGAGAGGAGACTACAGGGAAGATATAGGAAATCTTAGAGAAGATTTGGTAAGGAAATCAAATAAATGCCGTGGCTATATATCTTTAACACATCTTTAATTAATTAATCTATTAGTTTAAATCTAATCATTAATTTGAATCTAACAGTGTAGAATGGTCATCTCACGTTAAGCAAACCATCCCTCCATCTAGTCCTATCGCTTATATATGAGTAAGACTCCTATCAATTTAAGTTGATGTACATCAAACTTCCTAGCCACTCATTTATTAATATAAAAAATATTTTCATACCATTCAAGGATCTCTAGGCAACATGAGTGGCTAAAAAATATGGTAAATAACCTTTTGCTATTCACTTAAGTTGACACAAGTTTTGTTCTCTCTCTCTCTCTCTCTCTCTCTCATTTATATTTTGGTCATAGTATATAATATAATTATTATTTGTATATATATAAATATTTAGAGAGAGAGATGGAATTTCGAGATGGAGTTTAGAATTGCAGAGTATTTGATGAGGAGCAAAGAGAGATGAGATTAATGAGAATCATTTGTCATATTGAGAAGGATTCTGCGTCATATACAATGATGTGGCCACAAGTCTCCACTGAAGTTGTATCTTATGAGGCATTCCTTCGTCCTACTTTATTCACGTTTGGTGAAATTGTTTGCTCATTTCATCATTGATATATGAGGGAATCCTGCTTGCAGTATGACATATGAATACCCATTAATCTCATATATATATATATATATATATATAATATATATATATATATATATATATATATATATATATATAGAGGAAACCTTATGTAACTTAAGTGTACGTGCACCTAAGTTCTTAGTCATATGATGATCACTTGATTGGAGCTACATTGTGGATGATCCGCTCCGTTGAACTTTATCTACACTATTCTAAAGCTGCCCACACATCAAATTTGGGTGAACCCGTCATGGTTTGACCTTCATCCATCGTATCAAATTGTTAACGCGTTTTCGAATGGTGAATAGAACTTTATTTACATGGCTCGACGAGGGTCAAACCATGACGGCCATTCACACCAAATTGGTGCTGTTGGTTTAGAATATGTAGCATTCAAGTTTAACGGAGGGATCATTCCCACAATGTAGCGGCAATCAAGTGATCATTTCAGATGACTAAGAAACTTAGGTGGACGATCCACTTTCAAGTTTGACACCAAGTTTTCCTCTCCCTGCTCTCTATCTCATCCTCTCTCCGTCTATTTACTATTATTTTTATAGTTATATATAGTAGTATATATAGTAGTATATATATATATATATATATGTATTTTATATATTACTATATTATTATATTATATATATTATATATATATATATAGTATATATATATGTATGAATATTGTTATATATATGAGTATAAACTCTGAGACTGCGCTTTTGTGGGTGTTGTCCGTTGTGTGGTGTGCCAGCGTTCGTGGAAATTGGTTGGGCTTGAGGTGGGGAGATGGGGTAGTTTGGAGGTAGGGGATGGGAGGTGAGGTTGGGGAGATCTCACAGCGTGCGGTATGGACGCTGTGGACGGCCGACGCGTTGTGTTGTTTGGGGGTTTGGGTGGTTTCGGTTTTGGCTCTTTTAGTTGGTGGGTTTGTCGCCGGATGTTGTGTCTGAAATCGGTGAAAGCGGGAGTCAGGGATTGTAGAATTTTGTCGGGAATTTTCGCTTTGGCGGTTGGGGGAGAGAGTTCGGCGGTCACGGGTCTGATAAAGTGAGAGGGGTTTGAATCGGGGGCGGATAATCGCCTGCGACTTTTTTCAAATACCTCCTGCACGTACGAAACCTCGAACGCTGGCGCCAGCCGCAGGGTCTAGTTCTCTCTCTCTCTCTCTCTTCATCTCTCTAAATATATACTATATGATTATATATATATATATATATATATAATATATATTAATAGGTATATACTATTATTCTATATTAGTATAGTATAGTTATTATATCATGCCGTTGTCAAAAATGGCTTCCGCCGGCCGGGCGTCCGAGCGTGGCTCCGCCTCGGAATAGCTGAGATTTTTTATGTTTTTGTATATATTTTTAATGATATGAATATTTGATGTATTAATATATGTATATATAATATATTTCTATATGTATAATATGTCATATGTGTATATATATATATACTCTCTCTTAGTATATAAGTATATATAAGTATACTCTCTCTTATATAAATATATATATGTATAAGTATACTTTCTCTTATACAAGTATATATAAGAATACTCTCTCTTATATATGTATAATGTATGTATGTATGTATGTATGTATATACTCTCTCTCTTAGTAGATATGTATATACAAGTATACTCTCTCTTATATATGTATACTCTCTCTTATATAAGTATATATAAGTATACACTCTCTTATATATGTATAATATATGTGTCTATATATATATACTAATATACTCTCTCTCTTAGTATATATAAGTATACTCTCTCTTATATATGTATACTCCCTCTTATATAAGTATACTCTCTCTTATATATGTATAATATGTGTGTGTGTGTGTGTGTATACTCTCTCTCTTAGTATATAAGTATATATAAGTATAGTATATTACAACAACTATTTCTTCCCCATTGGCCCAACGGGCAACAGTTACTTATGCGATTCTCTCTCTGTCAAGTTATAACTTATAAATATATACAATATATTTACATAATATATGTATATATAATATATAGTTACATAATAATTTATAAGTATATACTAATACATTTATATAAAATATAATAATATTAAACGAATTTTTAGTTTTTTTTTATCAAAAAAAAAAGAAAAGAAAAGAAATTTAAAAAAACTAGTTAGGATGTACTTATCTATTGTGATGCAATGAATTCAAAAATAAATTTATACTTATAATTTGTAAATAATTTATTAATTATTAATAAAGAATTTATTTTTATAATTTTGGGGTCGCGTATCTCCGCTGCCCATTTGCCCCATGGCCTTTGACGCACTCCTCTGTAGTGTCTTCTCATTGTGGTTGCTGTGGTTCACGAAAAGAGAGAGATTAGTATCCACTAAGGAGTTGTTTGACGTTAGTTGTAGTTACAAAAATATATCTGCATATATACAATTGGAACATTAAAAAACAATTGCACAAATTTAGAGTAGCTGATACACAAAGCTCCGCTATGCAACTAGCATTTTAAAATTGTACCTGTTCTGACCAGATCACACTAATTTGTCGAGGAGTTCATGTTCTGACCAGATCACACACGACGACAACTCTTACCGTATTACACAATAGAGAGAGTATCTGAATCCTAAGTTGATACCTTATAAACAACGCATATAACTATATATAATTGTACCTGTAGCATTTTAAAATTGAACCAAAACTAAAAAAATTGCAACTACAATCACATGCACCAAAATTATGATAATTGCAACCGTATGCAACCAGCATTTGCATTGCAACTAGAGTCACAACGCCACTCCTAAGCTAAATGTTTTCGTACCTTGATGAAACTTCACGTAATAGTGAGAACTTCATCTGTATTAAAAAACAAAGTCATTCATCACATTAAAAAAACACATTATATTAAAAAATGGCTTCATCAATATTATCTTGTAAATCACATTACCATCCTTAAAGGAATCCTCTAAATCATCAGTGGCTTCATCAATATTATCTTGTTCCATTGAATCACTACAAAAAAGTGATGATAGCAAAATATATTAAAAGATCATTGCACCAACTTAAAATAGTTTAAAAAAATAATAGCATTAGTATTACTCTCATAAATGATACACTACCTTGACAACTTTAGAGAGCAATTTCTGCTATCATGATTTTATCCTCGCTTTCCACACAATTTGCATTTCCTCGGCTTGCATTTGCGGATCTCTCTCGATGGCTTTAACCTATTCCCTTTAGGCATTCCTTTTGTTCTTGCTTGACTTGGTTCATGAACTACATCTTGAGAACACTCCGCATTCATATAATGTCCTTCCACATCTTGTCCAATTTCTTCATCATTGATGAGTTTCAAACGTTGCACCTTATTAATAGCACATTGATGAGTTTCAAACGTTGCACCTTATTAATAGCATCCATCATCATTTCACACATTAATTCATATGCGTCATTAGAAGATAGCCCCTCTTCGACTATTTCATTAGCTAAGCAATTTAGTTCACTAAAACGAGAAGCAAAATTAATTATGGCATTATCTCCAATAATATTACCATCTCTAAGAACAATCCTTTTTCTGACATTTCGGCATCATCTTCTTAGAATATATTGCTCCGGTAACTCACTATGATTGGTAATTTTAAGATATGCCAAGATATGTCGGCATGGAATGCCCTTGAATTCAAACACAAGACACGAAAAACGGACCATTTGAGTTATTTTGCAATATATAATATGTCTCAATCTTTCATCATGACCACAAAAATTCAAATGGAAAGTACTTTCTCTTTCATTTTCTTTTACTAGCTCAATATTATACATTAAGCTAGGTTGAAGCTCGTCTTGAAAAATATAAAAGATTTTTTTTTGTGTAGATTTGGGCCATTTGTTTTTCTATTGACCACAAAGTCTTCAATTTTGGCTTTTTTTCCACTGTGCAATGATCTTCTTTAAGCTCCCCCTCTCTTTGTCTCGCCAAGACCCTCTGAAAGATGGTCACGAAATCATGAAGTGAATTTTTCC